CAAAACATTCCTGCAAAATATGCAACAAACTACATCACACACTTTTACATCGCTCAGATATCTGTAGACAAAACATGATGCCTTCAACATCCAATGGAGTTGAATCAGCATCAATCAATGCACATATTAAAACTGTAGCACATAAGGTAATTTTGGCAACAGCAATTATTCTGGTAAGGGACTCGGTGGGTGCATTTAAAGTAGGAAGAGCATTGTTAGATTCATGTTCACAGGTGAACTTAATGACTGAATCCTTCGTTAATATGCTGAACTTACAGAAGAAAAAGACATCAGTAGAAGTTGTCGGTGTTGGGTGTATGTCCTCGAAATTAAAGTACGAGACTCAAACGACAATTCGATCGCGATTTAATGATTCAGAATTTGATTTGAACTTTCTCATTTCAAATCGCCTGTCTGGGTATCAGCCTGACTCAGCATTAGATATTCGCTCTTGGCAATTACCGTCGAAAATCAATTTAGCTGACGAGCACTTTCATAATTCCCAATCCATTGACATGTTAATAGGAGCTGATTGCTTCTTCGAAATGTTACGCAGTGGGCAATTAAGGTTGGGCCGTAATTTACCAATGTTACAAGAAACAGTTTTAGGTTGGATAGTGTCAGGATGGTATAATTCTTCGAAACATGTTATCAATAAGTCATATCATATAACCAAAGTGGACACTGATATCGAATCAATCAATAAAAACTTAGAGTATTTGTGGTTATTACAAGACACAGCTAGTATACGTAAGAAGTGGAACGAAGAAGAGCAACTATGTGAAGATGCATTTGTAAAAACTACTACCACTTTACCAGATGGTAGAATTGAGGTTCAATTACCGTTTAAAGAATCGCCTTTATTACTCGGAGACTCGTACAATGTAGCATTAAAGCGTTTTCATTCGTTGGAAAGACGTTTATCCCACAATTGTGATTTAAAGTATCAATATACCAACTTTGTGAAAGAGTATGAGCAGTTAAATCATTTGACGGAAGTGCAAAACGTAAATTTGAAACAGCCTCATTATTTTATACCTCACCATTACGTACTCAAACCAAGTAGCACAACCACGAAATTACGAGTGGTGTTTGATGCATCATCAAGTACAACGAGTCAAAAATCATTAAACGATATTCTTCTGACAGGACCAACTATACAATCGGAATTATATTTGCATGTTATGCGTTTTCGATTGAAAAGATTCGCATTAAGTGGAGATATAACAAAAATGTACAGAATGATTCGAATACATCCTGTCGTTCGTATCAGCAAATTTTATGGCGAGAGACTGAAGATAATCCGATTCGCGTGTTTCAGTTGAATACAGTAACCTACGGTTTATCCGCGTCACCTTTCTTGGCGATAAGGAGTCTTCAATATATCGCGGAAAAATGGGAAACCGAATATCCAGTGGGTTCACATGTGCTAAAAAACCATTTCTACGTGGACGATATGTTAACGGGAGCTGATGACTTCCATGAACTACAAATAACACAATACGAAGTTACGTCAATATTAAAAAAAGCTGGTATCGAAATTGCAAAAATACAGTCAAATCATCCATCTTTCATCACCAATAATAATGAATTAAAAGACTTAAATTTACATGAACCAGCAATTACAAGTACGCTTGGCATAAAATGGGATTCAAATCAGGACCAGTTTTTATTTTCGTATAATCCGAGCAAGACATACACGTCGTTAACCAAACGCTCAATTTTGTCGATCTCGTCGTCTATCTTCGATCCGATGGGATTGATTGCTCCTATAATTATTAAGTCACGAGTGTTATTGCAAGATTTATGGATTATGAAGATAGACTGGGATACAGTAGTTCCGCAACAAATTGGAATTAAATTCGAAAATTTCATTAACGACCTAAATAATTTGAAATCGATTAAAATACCTCGATATGTATTACAAACAGATATCATCAACATGCAACTACATGGATTTTGTGATGCTTCAATTCGAGCATATGGATGCTGTTTTTATGTGCGGGTTTGTAATCAACAAGGACATATTTCAGTAAATTTATTAACGGCACGAAGTCGGGTGGCTCCGGTAAAGAAAAGAACCCTACCTCAATTAGAACTTTGTGGAGCGCTTATACTAGCTCAACTATATAGCAAAATTGCGCCGATATTTAGCAATATACATTTCCAAACATTTCTATGGACAGATTCGACTGTCGTATTACACTGGTTGCAACACCATTCCTCCACATTAACAACGTTCGTGGGAAATCGAATTTCTGAAGTACAAGAACTTACTGCAACTTGTTCTTGGAGACATGTTCCGACGTCAATTAACCCCGCTGACGTAATATCACGAGGATGTTCAACTAGCGAATTATTGAAATCCAACTGGTTATCAGGGCCAGCATTTCTAAATCGAGAGTATGAGGAATGGCCAGATTCATGTATAAGTAACACTCAATGCAAACGAGAAGTAGATGGTGCAATTCGGAAAATAGTTATGATATGTGAAACACCCACAAATCAAGTGCTACAATTCATAGATCGGACCAGCTCATATCTTAAAGTTCTTCGTGTTATTGGTTGGTTACTTCGTGTGCGTAACCGAGTTAAACAAAGGGGTCCTGATCATCAACATAATTTCACTAGTGATGAGTTACGACATTCTTTACATTGCATCATCTGGATCATTCAAAGCGAACATTTCTCTAATGAAATTCATTGTATAAACAACAACGTGGAAATTAAGACTTCGTTGAAAACTCTTAGTCCCTTTATTCAAGAGGTGGATGGATTTCCATTGCTTCGTGTTGGTGGACGCCTTATGCATGCGAGTATTTCAGAAGAAAGAAAACACCCTTTTTTATTACCAAGACATTGTCATTTCGTTGAGACTTTGGCTAGACATCATCATATTGAAAATTATCATGCCGGGTCTAAGGCGTTAATTGCAATTTTACGACAACGATATTGGATCGTCAATGCCAGAGGATTAACTAGGAAGATCGTACATAATTGTATCAGCTGCATACGTTATAAACCAAAATTGTTAAGCCAGATAATGGGAGATTTGCCTGCTTCCCGTGTGACGCCAGGCAAACCATTTGAAAAATGCGGAATTGACTTCTGTGGGCCTATTTCTACTTATTTGAAAATTCGAGGAAAACAGCCCTATAAATGTTATATAGCAATTTTCGTGTGTTTCACAACTAAAGCCGTTCATATTGAAGCAGTAACAGATCTGTCGTCAAATGCATTTATTGCAGCGCTAAAAAGATTCATTGGTCGCAAAGGACTACCTGCAGAAATTTATTGTGATAACGCTACGAATTTTGTAGGAGCCAATACAAAACTGGTTGAACTTAAACGAAGCTTTGCTAGTGAAGCGTATAAAAATCATGTCATTAATTTCTGTTCAAATAAATCAATATCCTTTAACTTTATTCCACCTAGAGCACCACATTTTGGAGGTATCTGGGAGGCCGCCGTGAAGTCTGCAAAGGGGCACATGTATCGTACGCTGGTGAACAGCAAGTTAACATATGAAGAGCTCACTACCGTTCTCGTAGAAATCGAAGCAATCTTGAATTCCAGACCGATTTCACCTGTGTCGTGGGATGCGAATGACTTCGAAGCTTTGACACCAGGTCATTTTTTGATTGGGTGTCCCATGAACTGCATCAGTGAACCAAACATTAATCAAAATGTAGAAGTGTCATACCTCGAACGATGGCGGCGCATTACTGCAGTGAAACAACAATTTTGGAGCAGGTGGTCAAACGAGTATCTCAACGAACTGATTCAGCGCAATCGTTGGACTAAGGTTAGCAATAATTTACAGACTGGGACGCTTGTTTTGATTCATGAAGAAAACATGCCACCAATGGTATGGGTGACAGGTCGCGTAACAAAAACCATCCAGGGCAAGGATGGTAAAGTTCGTGTTGCCGATATCCAGACAAAAAAGGGGATCGTTCGTCGTCCAGTTCAAAAACTTGCTATTCTATGTGATCCTTGAAAGACTAATCTTTCAACGTCGGCGGAATGTTCGTACACTTATCGATAAAGGCTGAACCAAATGAGCAAGTCATAACATTAAATCCAAGCCTTTATCTGCTTTGACAGTTGAAGGCATGGAATGGTGTTGTTATTGCTTCGTTTGGTTAGTTTCCTTTTCCGTTTTTGTTTTTTTTTGCTCTCTCTGGCTCGTGGTTGTGTGACCGCCGCACGTAGAAGCATCATTGAAGTTCAATTATACGAAAAATAGAAGTATTAAATAAAAAATAGAAAATTGTAAATAAATTCTAAAATAAACATACACATACCATATTTTTATATACATGTGTATGAATGTACGTATGTATATACCGCAACTAACTCACTTTATTTAAAATGTATTAAATTTTAATTAAAATGTTTTAAATCAAAAGATTTTGAATTAGAAGTGTCCATTATAACAAAATCATATAATATTAAAACTATTCAAAACAATAAAATATTAAAAATTAAATCACTCTCTGGCCCAATTTACACTATCATGAACGTAACATGAACTTGAAAATCGGTTACCGATCGATGAGACAGGGAAGAGAGTGTGATGTGAGTTCATAAATTTTAAGCAACGAAATTTGAATCGTTTTTTCAGCTTGACACGCATACATATTCAATGTTATGTTTATGTTTACCTTTTCATGCTGAATACTTTTAATTTCGTTTACTCCAATCAATGTAAGATATTATGCGAGTGTAGCTTATAATTAAAAGGTTTCTACTCCCTCTTATACACATTTGCAAATTTAATGCTTAAATAATTATAAATTATCACAAAAAACAATTACAATATTAAAACATATATATACATTGTGACCGAAAAGTTTCCGGAAATTTTAAATAAAACGCAAAATTCTTAATCTTCATCAATATTTATTTTATCTCCTTCAAAATATGCCCATTTAGAAGCGATAAACAAATGCCAACGTTTCTTCCAATCATCAAACATTTTTATAGGCGCTTTCCGGTATGGCTTTGAGTTCCCTCTGCGAATTCTGTTTTACGTCTTCTATGGATTCAAAACGCGTTCCTCTGAGTGGTAATTTGAGGTTGGGAAACAGGAAAAAGTCACACGGTGCAAGATCAGGTGAATACGGTGGCTGTTCGATGGTATTTATTGAATGTTTGGCCTTAAAATCGTTGATAATGTTGAACAAATTGAGGTGAATCGGAACAAGCCGGGCGTTGACACGTCGCATACACAAATTGTCCACCAAAATCAAACGAGCCATCTCACGACCGATGCCTAGCTCTCGTGCTATCTCTCTAACACTCACATGAGGATTTTTGAACACGATTTCCTTTGCCTTTTCAATGTTTTCGTCGGTGGTAGAGGTCGAAGGTCGTCCAGAACGCGGCATGTCTTCGACGGTCGTACGACAGTCCTGAAAGGCTTTGTACCACTCATAAACTTGAGTTTTCGATAAAACTGATTCCCCATAAGCCTTTTGTAGCATTCGCAACGATTCTGCACACGAAATTTCGTTCGAAAAACAAAATTTGATGCAAACTCTTTGTTCAATATTTTTTTCCATTGTTTTTTTCGCAACGCACTACTGAGGTGAACTGGTTTCAACAGCTGCCGTAAACGAACTGTCTGACAGATCGCGCTCATTTTTGGCATAGTAATTAAGGACAGTGCTGCCAAACTACATAAACTTAAAATATCGAAAAATATACAGCGCGCGAATTTTAAATGAGAATTTCCGAAAACTTTTCGGTCACAATTAATTAATTAGTAATTTAATTAATCAAAATGAAGGAAAGGTTTTTGTATTGATGCAAGGGATATATTATAAAACAATGTAAATGTGTAAATGAATTCTGACTACGCACGGTGTGAAAATATCTCCAAAAGAAACTATAGCAAAACACAAATCAAAGGTAAACAAAATTGTACTCTTTCTCTTCAGCTAAAAATTCATACATTTTATATCAAATTTACAAGCAAAAGCAAAACTAGAGAACAAACACAAAGCGTTCCTCTTGATGGGTCTAATGTTTTTGGAGACAAATTTTTAAAAAGCTCAGTTGAGAAGTCCTCTTGTATTTAGTGTTTTGGTAGTAGTGAATATCATTCGTTGCCATTCACAAAGGCCCGTTGCCTTTTACGAAGCATAGCAGTGCACTACATTAAACTGTGCGAATAGTGCATTTCATTCGCTTCGTGTTTAGTGTGCATACATGATTCGCGTTTAGGTAGTGTGTTTCACATTGACTTTTGAATGCATTCATGTCGATCTCTGGTCGATACTGGGCCCTGTTGCACCAACACTTTTCACTTTGCACTTTGCAAGACTTATGAGTGACTTTTTTTTGCAAAGTACAAGCATTGAGTATAAATATTATAGAGTACAAATCTGAAAATAAACTCAATTTGCCTAATGGGTCTGTGGGGGCGCGGGTAACAACGTAACAAGAAATAGAGAGCAAAATGCATTTCTCTACAGCGCTCTATAATATAGTGAGCACGTGCATGTAAGTTTTTTGTTTTGATTTTGTTTCCTTGTACCATTGAGTATAAATATTATAGAGTAGCAATCTCGTACAAGCAAATTTTTGTATGAGGTTGCTGCTGCTGGCAACCTTTTTGCACTCAAAAAACACTCTTCATGTTTATTCAGTAAATAAAACACTATTTTACCTGTCTCTTATATTTATTAAGTATTTATTATTAAAATGATGTTAATTATTTAATTTTCTTTTTAGAGTTTGTTTGTTACAGTCAGGATAAACATATCTGTGTTCTTGTACGCAGCGTTGTAAAAATTCCTTTTGTTCGTCTTCAACAGTGATTTTGCCATGAAAGTCTTGCATTAACTTAACCGCTCTTTCTGCTGTATCATTAACTGCTCTCAGTGTCAGCACCTTGTTTTTAGCATGTTGAAATGAAGCATTACTAGACCATGAAGTAGGACAACTTGAGAAAACTGTCATCAATTTTGAGTCGATTAAACAAAGCCTTGCTTTTCAATGAAACAAAGTCATCGATGTTTTTCTCGTAAAGTGAACCACAAAGTTCATCTTTTGAAGGGATATATCGTTTACTGTGGGCTGATGGCTTTCTTTGGCTAAGTTATTAACTATTTTTGCCTTTCTTTCATGGTCAACATCATCGTCAAATAGGGACAAGACAGCCACTTCATCAATTAAATACCATAAATGCTGACAGAACTTTTGTAAAACTGTTTTTGATATAATTTTGTCAATTGTTTCATAAGCCTTCATGGTCTTCAGAAAACACAAATCCTGGTAAGGTGCTTTTACCGCTGTAATGCATTGCAGCCAAGGTTTGACGTAGGATGTCACGATGAAAAGACAGACGTCTAACAGAGCCGCTTTATCCTTGTTACATTATAAATTGAGAGCTAAGTAATGGAATTTTTAATAAATAAATTGCCCTCGCCATCCAGCGCGCTTGCTGCATGGCACCTGGAGGTCGAATCTTAAATTTCTTTTCTGTATCTCCACCAAGGAATATTATTGAAAGCTCTATTAATTCTCTATAGTCGTTTCTAACAATTTTCTTAGTCAATTCAGTTCGATAAAATTCCAGCAGTTTGTCAATTTCTGAAGCATTCAGGTAAGATGACCTTTCTATAGGATACTGTACTTTCTTTCTTTCGATATTTGTCCAGTTTTCTTGTAACCTTTTGAATAATGGAATGTTAGGATTGTTAGTAACTTGACTAATTTTAGCTTTAAAAACGCCTTTCAATATCAATTCGTAGATGTGATGACGGCAAGCAAAAATAAGCATATCTCGATTAAATTTTTATTCGAGAAGCACACAAGCACCATTAATACGACCAGTATTTGAACCAGTAGTATCACAACAAAGGATTTGCACTTTATCTTCGAGATTCCAGTCAGTAACCGCATTCCAAACTGCCTGTGCCTGTTCACTTCCTGTACAGTTGTCTAATTTTGGCACCGCAATAAGTTGTTCTTTATCACGATACGAAATAACAATCGGGAGACGTTCTTCTCTACATTTGCGCACATCTAAAGCCGGCAACAGTTTGCCATCCCAATGGACAGTTACAGTGTCTTTCTTTAATAATTTCTGCACGCTGTTTTCGTTTTTCTGTGCGAATTCTTTGAATGGAGGACTTGCTTATAGGAAATTCGTCAGTATTGTGTCCAAGTGCTTCAAAAGTAGCTTCAATAATAAATACAGAATTTCTCATACTTAACTGACACCTATATAAAGGTGCCACTAACTTTGGAGTGATCAAATTTGTCCTCATAGAAGTTTTTTTAATATCGGACTGCGCACTCCCAGTTTGGATGGGTAAATTTTCTTGTAGATCCATTATTTCAGAATCAGAAGATAAATTTTCGTGGTAAGATATCGTCGAAGCAGTTAAGGATAAACAATAATTAGCACGACGTTTTTGTTCCTCAATGTTTCTAAGACGCGCTTTTTCCTCTTTTTCGGCCAATTTTTTGTCCACTCCAGCTAAGTAACCAGGTCGACTTGGCTCTCTCTGGCGCTGCAAGAAGATTTTATCTTCATTTATCTTTATTAATTGAAGCGCGTCAGCATGTGCAATGTCAAACAAATTGTTTAAGTTTGTAATAAACTCTTGTCGACGCTGCTCGTACACGTCTTGTGTTTTGTTCGCATTTTTCTGCAAACCTCTCCAAACTCTGTATAATGTAATTAGCTTCTTAACACAGTTAGGTAAAGCTTTACTTGGTATACGTGCCTTTTCCCAATAAATAATGCACTCACGAATAGTAAGATTTGCGCTTTCAGTAATACTTAAATTCACTTCACGAATGTTGTAGAACAGAACTGCCAATACTTGTCCATTAGAGGGAAGTTTTGAACCAGTGATTTGATGTTTTACATCCCGAATTAAAAATATTTCCTTTTTAAAACTGCGTAATCCTATTGACATATTGATTGAATCAAAATAATGCGCTTACTACTAAAACAAACAAATAATAACGAGCACTACA